AATGAAGCTGAGATCTTACGACTGGCCGGTTCTTGTTCGGTTGATCGTGTGATCGGTGAAAAACCGTTACGTGTCTTTCACCGTGTTGCTGCTGTATCGAGAGTGAACCAGCGGCTCCGGCCTGGGTAGAAAATTGCTCCTTCGTGTATCTTGCGGTTATGGAAATCGCTTCATGGAAAATACTCGCCCGACGTTCATGGTATCGTATGTCCCTTGTCTTCGTATTTGCTACTTTTACCGCGGAATTCCGCACGCGTTAGACTCGGATGGCTTGTAGAATCAGATACGACAAGATGGAGATCAGCGTGGTGATTTGACTCCATTCGCGAGCATGATCGCGATCGTTTTTCTATTTCCTCGTCGGTGCTATTCGCCAGGACTGTAAATGAACATGCTACTCGTCGTCCTAAATGCAAGCATAGCTACCAAGGCGGAAATGGAATCGCGTTACATTGCTCTCAGTAGCAAAGTCCAAAGTACCTGCCTTCGTAAGAACTGAGACATGCTACTTTCCACAACACGCGTTAATAAATTCAGATCGAATGTCGAGGCTATATAGGTTATAACAGCAATACACCTCTCGCACTTTACGTGTACCCACTATGTATCGATGTACAGCGAGCATTCGATATTTCCCAGATAGATAAAATTATATAAACTCGCTAGGGATACGAATTACGCGTCCTAATGCCCAACTTGCGCGAAGTATTCTCGCTCATCTCGTGAGATAAGACGAAGATGCAATCGCAGGCTGGTCACAGAGCCAGCAATTCCATCGGAGCGCAGCTAATCAAACCTATTCCACACCTAAATCACGTCTAGTCTAGCTGCAACGACCTACGCGTTTCCTTCGAGACTCAGGCAATTCGAGCCTGCCAGTTAGAGGTCTGGGGACCGCGATAACGTCGCCGGCGTGGCTGTGAGAGCGCTACGGTCGCAGTCGCCGGGGAAGTCCCGTTAGCTAGTACCGGAGGGAGCCGAGAGGGGCGCCTTTGTGCCGGTGGAAATCGTAAGATTGGTATCGCGTTCCTCCCTCTGATATTGCGTCTCACCGGTGGTGGCGACGTCGTCGTCTCCGTCGTTCTCGTCGTCGTCATTGTCGTCTTTTATTTCAAGGGAAATTAACGACGACCGGGCGAGTAATTGTCGGCTGTTAAGCCGCCGCGGAACGTAATTACGCGAGGACAAAGCGACGTAGCAGGAGTAAATACGGAAACGCGGCAGCGAGGAAAACGAATTTGTCACGGCGGTTTCGGGGGCGAGAGGGGGCGCGAGAGAGGGGTTCGAGAGCGTGGGTTCAACAGCGGCGAAACTTCTTCTTCTTCTTCAGCCGCTTTCATCGAACGATGCGAGTTTTCGAAGTTCCCCGGCCGGTCCTGTCGGTGATAGGCGTGCGATAACGAGCACAATGGACGTTGCATAATTTTAATTGGACGCTTTGTCCGGTCCCCGTCGCCTTTGCCCGCCGGTAACGGGATTACGTGTCAGGAATGATTTTAGCCGAACGCCCGTCGCATCCTCTACGCTCGGTTCGATTTTATAATGAGTTCGATCGTGGTCGGTCCCCCTTTTGTCCACGGCCAACGAGGAAATCTGGTGCATCCGAAGAATTTCATTAGAAGTCGAGAGTCGCTCGCTGGAACTTTGAGACACCTTCCTTTTTCACTTCCGCTTCCCGCTCCCCGTCCCCCGGCTGTTATTACTGTTAACCGTGCAGACGTCGCGAGGAAATTCCGATTTTTCGCAACCGCGAAAATGTGGAAAAATGAAACGTCCTCTGCTAAAGATTGGGAAGCATATCTCTCTCGATTCAACGAAGGAATTAAACGTGCAACGACTACAACCAGAAATTAACCCTTTGCACTAGAGAGGCGACTCTCGGTCGCCATTTAATCAGATTCTAAAGGTCGTTATTAATTAACACCTCGAATTTAAAATTATCCAACAACGCGTGGAATACGGAGGTAAAATAATTCTACGTCTTATTGTTAATTTGCACTTCTTATATACCGTTTCGAAAATATCGTCGACTTTATGGCAGGAAGTCCTCGAATTACTATGTTTCTGTGACGAAAAGATCGCCTAGTGCGGAGGGTTAAACTACCAACGACTTGGAAATATCGATTCGAATGTGAAACTTAAGGGAAATCAAAATACTGATCAATTTTTATTTTTGAAGCACGTGATTCTTTCCTATGTATTAACACTTAACCATCTGACAGTATATTAACGTGTTTTTCGACATTCGTGTGAATAAAAGCCAAATATAAACCTAAACTGTAAGGACAAGCAAGTAAATTGCTTTTTTATTGTAAATAAATATAATGAAATATTTATTTGCCCAAATTAGACCAGGAAATAATGGAAAGTTGTATATTTAAAATAATAGTAAATATGTGATTAATTTGTTATTGACACTGTACAGGAAAAGAAGTGTTACAGTGTTCATGTGTATTTTGTACTGTGTATCTTCATCAAGGAACTTGTTTCGAATCATATTGTAGTAAGAAACCTACTAAAATTTTCAAAAAACAAATTAGGTTAAGAACAAGTTTATATTTCGTATAATAATTAATGTATTAAAATAATTTATCTTTTAACAAATGCGATATGGTTTCCTCACATTTTACGAGAAATACATTTTTCTGGAAAATATACAAAATACACATAAGTTCCTCGACCGTACACTTAAATTTTCCTCCGAAAAAGACAAACGGTTAAGTGTTAATAATATTGACCATACAACGATGATTCTTATTCATTCTCTGTAAGTACAGTAAGTTCAATCGCATCGAGTACATTCGTCGCAACTCGACCCAAATTACGCGAGTAGATAAAATTTTTAAAACGAAATTTCACAATTAAAGGGTTAACGCGTTAACCCGATTAGATACCATAGTTCAAACCAATGTTTATCAATAATAACGTAATTTCTCTTACACGTTTTCTACAATCTTCTGTCTACAAAAAAAAAAGAAAAAAAAAGAAAACAGATACTACACTGATAGAACGCGTCTCGCTCAAGCGTTTAAAAGTTCCGCCTTAAGCACGTCCCAATAACACTCCTATTGAATACGCAGCGTTACGCGTAACGCCGTTCATTACGCAACAATAGCGGCTCGGAACTGCATCTTCCGCGCTTTCAAAGCGTAATTCAATTCGTAATGCAACGTCTGGCTTTCACCGCTGTCTGAAAGTACACGAAAAGATAATTCCTGCGCAAGACGGTATCTTAATGCCGCGAAACGCAGCCGTCAGATAATGCCTGTTATTAATTTGCAAAGACGGTAATGCGACTTCTGCGTTGAATAGGGTCGCGCGCGGCGCACGACTAAAGACGTTGCTTAATTAAATTAGCAGTTACAGCTAACGCGAACGTAAGAGTATCTCCCTTTTCCCCTTTCACTCGTCACAGAAGCGTTATCGAAACGTTGCGTCGCCCGATGTGCAAACTTCTCGCCGAAGACGACAGCTCGTAGTGTCAGCAAACGAGTTATATTTCTAACCTGTACGTATACATGTAAATACCTGTGTCGCCACGCCGTGCTCGGAAATACGGGCGATTTTTCATCGCGTGTAAAGGAATTAGCGCAACGTATCCTCAGCGGCTCTTCTCGTTTAGATTTCCGAATACATTAGAATAATCCAGCCAGAGAGCGGGTCTAGCGACACGAAATAACACACGGCCAACGACGAACGCGTGTAGCTCGATCCACGGTCGCAAAAGCATACCCGACAACAACCAGTTAACCTCTCACGTCACATGGCGACGAATCGAATTCCAGCCTGTATATACGCGTATCAACGTTAGCCACTGGGATCCACGAAAAGAGCCGTTAGCAACCGAAAGCAACGGTACATCGTTCCACGTGTCGAGAAACACTCCGTGCACACTGTTGTAATTAACCGGCTAGCAATTACGCCTTGTCCCGCGAATATGACGAAACGACTGCGGCGCATGGTACGTAGATGGCGCCACGAGCATCGCGGCGATCGCGCCATGCACTTATTTCGGGGGAATTAACGAGCGCGGGTTGGCAACGGGCTGAAGGGCGAAGGGCGGGAGGAGGGGGGCCGGGACGAGCGGTGGGGGCTCGTGCAATTTAATCGTCGTGAATTAAGCACCAGGGGACGTAATTACGCGTAGGACAAAGCACTGGCCCCGCGGACCGCGCGGCCAAGTAAATACGGAAATATAATGGTACAAATTTGTCGCGAGTGCACGGCGCTGCATCCGTTATCGGCGGCCATAGCGAGGGCCCGCTGCGCCGACTACAGGTGGGGCTCGCGAGTGCAATTTAAAAGTCCATTTGTTTCTGGATAACGTCAGGAAACGCCGACGCCACCGGTACACGCATTTCATCCGAAAAATATTGTACCTGAAAATGGTATACCAGGGTAATACGTAATGGTTACGTGCGGCTTCTGCGTGGACGATGAGTTAAAAATGGGCGGGCAGAGTGAGAAAGGGACGGGATAAATTTTCCGATAGTCACGTTGGCTCGCCAAGGATTTTTGGCGGTTCGAACAACACAGAGGAAATGGTAAGCGTATTTACATTTTGACATACCTTATGCAAAGGCTGCAGCTAACAATAAGTATTTCCATACTGGAAGGTTACGGAAGCACGCATGTGCTTGCCTGACGTAAATTCTTTCACGGCCGAGATCTACCAAGAAAAATTCCACGGAAAGTTTGCACGCCAGGTTACCAGAATCTTCCAGCAGTAAATGTAAATCTGGGAGACACGATTCACCTTGTCCTAATCGGGTCACTCGTTAATCTAAGGACGTCGATATATAACGACCATTTAAAACCGTGTCAAACTTTTATCCAGTATTTTATCGTGTCCGATAAGACGTGCAATTATTCATCCTGCTATTGAATAACTATAAAATAAATAACGTTCCTCGACGAATTATTTGCCAGCTTTTTTCACTAGCTAGAGAAATAGTAACCGCAATTGTCGCGACTATGAATTTAGTTTGTTGTATAAATTGTATCGCCGTTTCTATTATTTATAGCTATTCGGGAAAAGAATTTTGTAGGTTATATGTAACATGTGCTTTTGGAATCGCTCAGCCCCTGCATCCCTGCGCGACAGCGTCCGCCATTAAAATTAATTCCCCTTTAGATTATAGGTCACAGCATCGCGTGCTTGCGGTTTAACTCAGTCAATGATTAACTCAACGACGCATTCATTCCGCGATGAGAAGGAACGCCGACAGTGGCTCACGCATGCGCGTGTCCTTGAGTAATCGTGCCGACCAGCTCGTTTCTTGTGCGCGTTTTGTGCCGTTTACGCTATCACGACGGTTCGCGCGATTAATTCCACGCTCCTTTTCGCCATCCCGAAGTCCCGGAAGAGTTATTGATCGCCTGGATTATCATCGAGGTCGTTGACTCGCGTTGTCGCGCCTCCTACGCCTATGCGACGTTACGCGCCGCGTGACAGTGAATTGTAGGTGAACCATAACCGTCGCCGTGCGACTTTCGTTACGTACGATTTTCGATCGACCCATTGGCGACAGTCACCGATCGATTACGCCCACTGGCGGTGCGTCGCGCGTATTAAACGGCGTTTCCAACATTCACGGCCACGTTTGCGTAATGGCCGTTCGAGAAATCGCGTCGAAAACTCGGCCGAAATTTCGTACGCGCGATTCCAGTTATTCGGAACACGTCCCGTAAACAGTACCTCGTTTCGAAACGTTTCGATTCGCTCCCGATACGGCACGGTGAAGAACGACCGTTTGAAATTCCCGCCACAGCGTAGCGAGACTGCACAGCGAGATACCCGGAGCTGCGTGGTGGGGAGAATGGTAAAGGCCAGTACGAAACAAGCTTTATTTAACCAAGGACGAGAATGTTAGGATGGACGAAGAAACCAGGAGGTTAGTGACATAATTTCTTGCCGGTGTAGCAGCGTTACGTGTGCCTGTGTACGCGAGGAACGAGACACGGTGGCGCCGGTGTTAGGGCGAACGAGAATAAACGAGTGTCATAATTAAGAACGTTCCAGGGAAAAGCGCGCATTCGCAACGCTTCGGGGCCCTCGTCGCTTTATCGCCGCTCCGTGTGCCGTTTTGGAGTGGGGGTGCCGCGCATGCACGTGTGCGTCGTCACACGTACGCGTCTGTGTGCGCGCTCGCGTTTGCCATTTTGCTCGCGAGCCTCCAGAAGCCTGCTTCGCTGCCGGAAATTGGATGGCGTGAATTTAGTGCCGGCCCTTCGACAGCTTGACTGAGTACACTTTCCGTCGTGACGTGTTAGACGACGGGCCACGCGCTTGTATGAGGCAGCGCGTCGTATTTAGGTTATACGGGGTGTTCCACAAAGTAATCCGGCAACGGGAAACTCGTGGCGAAAGTAAGATGGCCATTAACGCTTTCGCGTTCAACCTCGTCTAATGAACACTCGAGTGCTCCCGTGGCGAGATTTGAACGCGCCGGTGCCACTGGTTAAATACTCGCAGCGTACGCTCCTGGCGCGCGCATGCGCGTGCCGCGTTGCTTTCACTCGCCGAGTGGCTGCAGAGAAGCGAGGAAGTTAAAGTCGTTAAAGAAGCGCTGTCGCGAATCAGTACGCGAAAAATTGCGGAGAAACGTGTTTGAGAAACTGTTCCACACGACTGTAGGGTAACGTGAGATCCTCGAGATGGTTTTATATACGCGTAAATATCGGATATAGCGTACGCGTGACCGCCGTTCGTGTCGTATTTAGCGTTTAGCGTTTAATCGAAGCGCGTGACCTCGTGGTGGAAACGATTGCGTCAGAATGTCGTTCTGGCCTTGAGAAATTCGCAAACAGACCCCGGTAAACCACAGCTTTTATAATTTCGCGGAGAAATATAAATCTTTGTTTACAGGAACGGCGGGAGAGATTGCATCTGCTTATTACTCTAATGACATTCAGCTGCCGCGATGTTTGTCGCGAGACGGTGTCAAGGGATCATATAAAGTCGTATCGTTTTGTCTATCTTGTATCTGCGACTTCGCGGTGTGCGCTATGTTTAATGTATGAATTAGCCGTAGCACACGGCGCATAGAATACAAACAGTCCTCGTTAAGAGAACGATCGAAAGATTTTTGCGACGCGCTTCGAGTCACGGATTAATACGCGTGATTATCTTCCGTTGTTGAACGACCGTCAGCTTTAAACGACCGAAACGTTTGTCGCGGAAGATGACATTGTATCGACAGCGTTCTGTTAAAGGTCTCGCGTTGAAATAATTTATCATCTCATTAAACACGAACGTAACGGACAAGCAAATAGCAAACAGCCCGCGCATTTGTAAACAGTTGTGACAAAACTCATTTTCGTTCGTGTAATATTAAATATGATCCGTTTAAAAATGGCGTCGATTCTGTTTTTCTCGCGATACGTGACGGAATGTTGGCACGCCAATTTCTCATGGTTCTCGAGGGTATAAAAACAATATTTAGGAAATAAATAAATAAAAATATCGAGTTTTGCTATTATTTTTTTTTCTTTTTTTTATTCCAACTGCATTGTGCAGTATTAATCATTTGATTTATATTTAAATAATTCCGTATTCAAAAAAATCGTAGAATATGCTATCATTTTGTCGCGTACTGCATTAAAACTGCTTTTATCCAGGGATTTCAGAATTCGTGACTGAAATATAAAATTATTAGCACGTTTTATAGTGGAATGTTGTAAAACTCTCTTATTTCCTTCAGCATGTTTTAATCTTACTTTATTATCGAAATGTAAACACTTCTGAGATGTTAAACTTCCTCACGTTTTATTTATAGCAGAACGTCGAGTATCCTGATGATAGTGATCGATCATACGAATACATGTATTCATATAAACTGATGAATTTGAAACGCGAAATACCTGGACTGGAAGATTGTCATGTTAGTAATGGACACAAATAAAAATAATTCAAGATGTATTACTGCGATCCTCAGTGACATCATTTTATCGATGTTTCATACGAATGATTGCACAAATCAAATTATGAATATACGTAATCTATACATGGCTGAAAATGCATTAGGTATTGCACTGCATCAGGAATACTGCAAGAAAAGGAACAAATAACTATGTCACGTGTCATATGTCTTTCATCCTGCATCTATTTCACACGAAAAACATTTAATTTCAAAGATTCCAGTTAATTCGTGACGTAACTAGAATTTTATTCTCCCCGACCAATTATTGGAACAAATATATTCCACAATTAATTTATATAATCGACGTTTTACTGTACCAAAACCTAAATACTGTCAACAAGGATCTAATTGGAACACAGTTTTCCATTCGAGACATTTAGCAACGGATTGGCACTTGTTCACTATCTAATAGCTAGAAGATTCCCGCGGAACAGCGCCACTAATTGGGCCCAATGACAAAACGTGACAGCACTGAAGCTGGTTATGGATACACATAATCCATACATGATTGAAAATGCATTAAGTATTGCACCGCATGCTATAAGAAAAAGAACAGACATTGCACAAATGTCTATGTCACGTGTCATCTATTTTATGAGACATGTATTCTTTCACACGAAAAACATTTAATTTCAAAGAATTTTCGATTTCCAGTTAATTCGTGACGTAACTAGAATTTTATCCTCCTTGACCAATTATTGGACGAAATTTATTCCCCAATTAATTTATATAATCGACGTTTTACTGTACCAAAACCTAAAAGGTGTCAACAAGTATCTAATTGAAACACAGTTTTCCATTCAAGACATTTAGCAACGGATTGGTACTTGTTCACTATCAATTCTCAAACAGGAAACAAAGACTATAGCTACAAGATTCCAGCCTCAGTGTCGCTAATTGGGCCCAATGACAAAACGTGACAGCACTGAAGCTGGTTATGGATACACATAATCCATACATGATTGAAAATGCATTAAGTAATGCACCGCATACTATAAGAAAAAGAACAGACATTGCACAAATGTCTATGTCACGTGTCATCTATTTTATGAGACATGTATTCTTTCACACGAAAAACATTTAATTTCAAAGAATTTTCGATTTCCAGTTAATTCGTGACGTAACTAGAATTTTATCCTCCTTGACCAATTATTGGACGAAATTTATTCCACAATTAATTTATATAATCGACGTTTTACTGTACCAAAACCTAAAAGGTGTCAACAAGGATCTAATTGGAACTCAGTTTTCCATTCGAGACATTTAGCAACGGATTGGCACTTGTTCACTATCTAATAGCTAGAAGATTCCCGCGGAACAGCGCCACTAATTGGGCCCAATGACAAAACGCGTCAGCACCGAAGCAGCCATCCAGGCCACGTGGACGTGGAAACGGAAGCTGCGGATAACCACTCGGACCGCGATCCGCAGCGATGATCGCGATTTCGAGTGCGCTTCCACGCGCGAATTTTCGCGGAGTCGCGAACAAAAACGGGGACCAACCGACCAGTCAGCCAGCCATGCTTTTTCCTTGCTCGCCGAAGCGAAGTTTGATTCGACCGCGATGACATCGTTGACACGACGTCGCACTAATCCTTTTTTCTCGTTTGCGGTGGGCGTCACACTTGGTGCACGTCGCGGAACCGACCCCCGAAAAAAGACAGGGAAGAAAGGGCCGGAAAAAGTTGGGAAAAAGCAAGAGCAAACGGGACGAAAAAATAGTGACTAACAGGAAAACGAGGAAAACGAGGGGGGATGGAAATGGGAAGGGAAAAAAGGGTAGCCAGGAAACAGAGCGCGTTGCGAAACGGCACAATGATCCTCGCGCGACTGTTCGAATGGTCCGCGACGAAGACGGTGCCACGGGGTCGACAATTCGAATTTGCACGCCGACCATCCGCGCATTTTTTTACAGAAACGCCGTCGCCCAGTTGGCGCCGAAACCATTGATTAAAGTCCGGCGCCGACCCATTTTTCCCCGGCTCTGCCTCTTTCC